AGAATTTTTAATATTTATTTTTTAGTTCTCGGCAGACACAACATCTTTGTTGGTATGTGGTGCTGAGGATCGAACCCGGGCCGCACGCATGCCAGGCGAGCGCGCTACCGCTTGAGCCACATCCCCAGCCCATTCTCACAACTTTTCATGAATAATTTGTTTTATTCTTTTTTGAATTCAATTGCCACACAGACAATAGTTTTAAAGGCCACTTAAAAACATGCTTCTTAGCCAACAAAGTGGTTACTCTGGTGTGCTGTGAACACTTATAAAGGCACAGTTCAGCCTGAGTGCAGAGCTCCTGCTCTCGGGAAGCTGACCCAAGCTCCATGCTAAGCTAACGCTCAGGTGATCTGGGCACAGCCTGAAGTCCGATGAGCAGCCTCCAGGGAAACGGTGCACTGTGAGCAGCCCTCCTATGGTGGGGTGAAAACACCTCTCAGGAACTGGGGCACTATTTCTTACAGTTATTTACCTTCCATTTTTGCTTTAAAAGCCCCCTTTCCCCTAGAGCTGAACACACATCCACATGAAGCCTACTGCAGTCAAGCCAGCTCTGTTTTGTAATGGGAGAGGCATCTGTGATTGACCGCGCATCGCTCAGGCTTCAGAATGGTCTGTACCTTCACTCTCCACGTCTGAGCCTCCCGAGCTGAGAGACCGCCACCGCTCCTTGGCCCGGGCAAGACAGATGTCAAAGAGCTCTGGAAGAAAAGCCTCTGGGTGAGTCTCACATGCACATCTTCCTTGAAACACTCAAGAACACACAACTGTCTCCTTCACAGACAACCCCCACCTTGGCCTGGAAGCACTCTCCTGTTTAAAGACATGGGCACATGCACTGTAGGGACACAGCACTGCCATGCCTGTGTGTGTCTCCTGTCACACAGCCACCCACAACTATTTGCTCCCATCCACTGTGACTGGTCTAACATCACTCACCTCTGTCTACAGACCAAGAGGTGCTGGGAGCCACAGAGGGTGACAACCCAACAGCTGGCTGGGGGAGGGGCTGGAGCGAAATGAAAGCATGCCTGGCTTCAAAGGGGTTTGAGCCATAATACCGAAAGGAAAAACAATACCAAATGCCATAATCCTGAATGCTCAAATCCCCAAAGATGAAAATCTTTAATGTCTAAACTCCTGAAAACAGGATCCTAGGAAAAACAAATTTAAAAATTCCTTAAAAGAAATTTATTTACATTTTGAAAAGGGGAACTTATTCAAAAACATAAAAACATAACAGAACACTTCATAGGTCATTTTAGACAATAAAATAGGCAATAATAACATTTTTGAGAGCAAAACACTCAGGAATACTGCAGACAGTTGGGTGAGTAGAGATGAATGACAAATGAATGATCTGTTCATAAGGAAACCAGCTGCTGAGAACAGAGGTACTGCACTGTGACTACCACACACACACCCAGCTTGATGGCTGTGCTCCTCTGGGATACTGTCAGACCATCCGACTCTTGACAAGATTGATTAAAATTCACTGAGGGTCACCACTGTGTACATAGTCACCCACGAGCCAAGACCCCAAGAAACCATCCTCCRTCACAGATAGTTTCAACATTCTCACACACTCGTCAGGCTTCCACCCTACATGCTGTGATAATGCACTTTCATGGAGTCTTAAATTTGTAAAAAAGACATAAGACAAACTAAAACTCTCCAAAAGTCTTTACACAATTTATATCTTCAGTTTTGGAAATAATGTGTAACTAAAATACACAGCACTGCCAATTGTAAAAAATAATGCTGAAAATTTTAAAAAGTGGGGAAAAAAACTTCTAAAAGAGAGTAAAAAACTAAAAAGACAATTTGGAACATGACAAAGCATAACCAGGGATAGACCACAGGCAGTGCATGGAGGTGACCTCCACTCCGAACTGTTCTGATCCTGCATGGTGATCAATAGCAGGTGTAGCGCTCCGGCAGAGCGAGTCCACATACACTTCCATGTGGCTTCTGACTAGGTACACACTGATACGAGCACCCCTATTTGATTTTCTCATCTTCTGGACCACACTTCTACGCTGCTCCGTATATTCAGACGTGCATTCTACTCATCCTCAAATACAGACCCAATCAATACAGGTGGTCAAACAGCAACACTGCTGTGTGTCTTCTTGTCCCACCATGCACATGATTATTTCAAACCAATCAGTAACCTTCTTGGCTTCTGCAGAAAGTGTAGCTTTAATTCATTAAAAGCTCTTGGAATTTTGTTCACGGGAAGGAGTGTCAATGACACCTTCTTCAACTGCAGCTTTAGTTCTTGCCATCATGTATGATAAATCCCTTCACCAGAATTCAGGTTTCTACCCCCCTTATATAGCCTTTTTTTCCCCCATGGAAAATGCAACTTTTGGAATTTCCATTTTCAGGATTTCAACCTTTGGAAATTTAACTTACTAGGACTGTGATCTGGGGGATGAGGATGGACACTGTTTTCACATAAAGACATAGTGGAATTGCTACCCACATGGCCCAGCTTGCTCATTCTGCTGCAAGAAGTAGAGCCGGGGGTGGGAACAGGTGCCCAGGAACAGGCAGAGCTTTCAAAGAACAAGAACTCTTGCTGTCAGACAAGTGTCATCAGTCTTCAAATCTCTTCCATATTTAGAACCCATCTTTCAACAACTCTTCTCTTGGGAAGTTTGGTGGTAGTTAGGTCACAACTCATGCTCACAAATCTCACTGGCAGGTACAGACGGCCCTGGATATATCTGAACCCCAGGTATCCTTAGAGGACTGTGCTTCTCAGGGCCAGCTCCACACCTGTCCCACCCCAGGCATTTCCTGTGCCTCTGGCTTTGATGTTTCCCAGCTCCCTGATGTTCTGGGTCACTAGTCTGTCACTGGGACTTTAAATGAAGCTACCCACAGACTTTTTATCACTTTATATTTTTCCATCATTACTTTTGAAAAATAAACAGGGCACAATTGCCTTCTGGGCAGCATGTGCTATTTTATTAAATGAAATGTTAAGTCTAGTAACACTATTATAATCCAACAAGTAAAATCTTGATGAACGACCCTAGTCAAGCCTTGTGAAAGCTCTAACAAAATCTATGCTGTCTGCCATGGCGGGAGGGCACAGTCATGTAACACAATTTCCTGCCATCCTTATCCAGAAGGGCAAGTGTTTACAGGACAAACTTGGCAGTGTCCTGAGCTGGTGGCTAGAGCACTACAGGGCACTTCTGCCTGCTCTCAGCCCCCAGGTGGTTGGCTACACTTTTGTCATTTGGCAGTAGGGGTGAAAACAACTGTGTGGCTTGTGACCACCTGAGAATCACTTCCCATATGAGGAATTTGACAATTAAGGTACAGAGGCTGTGGCTGTGTCCTCAAGGTAAAAGGGGTCAAAGTGTCAGTGTTACAAAATCTCTTCCATGACTTTCCTGGCACGTACTGGGGGGCAGGGGTTAGACTCTATACCTCCTACCCAGACTCCCCATCCCCAGTTTTAAAGTCAAATTCCCTTAGTGTGAAGTTTTAATAGTACTATTAGGTCAACTTTCCAACTATAAGTTTCCAAATGTATAGCCACAAAAAGAGCCAAACTGGAGCTTCCCAAGTCATAACATGGGCGTCTGAAACAGCCAGTGCTAGAATGAGAATCCTGCTCACACACATAGGCTACAGGGCCTGGAGCACAGTGCCTGGTCATTTCAGGATGATCCTTGTCAAAAGGAAGACAAGGTCACCAATACCTGCCTCAACAGGATCACTGTCAACGCTACAGACTCCTAAGTCTTCACTAAGCCTAAGGGGGTGCCTGGCATTCAACAATCCAGGATCATTCTTACACTGGCCTGAAGATGCAGCAGGGTGAGATCAAGCAGGACTCCATGAGCTGCACCCACTTACCTAACAGACATTTGAGGGCCTGCAGAGAACTGGGCTGGGCACAGTGATGGAGCAGGGAGTTATAGTGGAGCCCCAGTGTACTGAACCTGTTCCAATGGGGGCAAGCACCCTGAAACAGCCCATCATGTGAAAGAGTCATAGCTGACAAAATGTGAGCCAGCATCAGGGCCAAAGGGACATCTATACCCAAGTGATGGTGGAGCAGCTGCTAAAGCCACCCACCATGATTCTGTCCACAGAAGGTTTCAATTTAAACAAATCCCACCCAGGCATCAGAGAGAACCAAAAACCGCACACACAGAGGCACAAAGTACGGCACGCTATATCCTATTTGCATAGACAGGGATATTGATAGAAGTTAAAAATTTTCAACAATACAGACTGAAATAAATGCTCAGAAACTCATCCAAACCTCACCTTCTGAGGACATTTCTCAAAAACCATTTCCACAAGTAAAATGCTGTACATCTTCTCAGGCAAATATCTTAAAAACAAAATTTTGGCAGATATGGATTTAGCTGTGGAAGGAAAGCAGGCCCTCTTCAGGAAGGGAGTCACAATCCAACTGACCTGTTGTGCAGCTCACAGTGGACACAGTTCTTAGAATAAGGCTGAGGCTGTGTGAAAGACCAAAGCTGACATGATGAGGCTAACAGYCCGACTGGAGAGGGAAGGCATCCACCCATCTGCCTGGAACTCTGAGGGTTCTACCAGAGTAAGCCTGCTGCCCTCGACTTCACAGGCAGCTGCGGGCCTCACAGGGACGAGCAGGAGAGCCTGCTTTCCTTCCACAGCTCAGACCTTAGACTGCAAAGGAGAGGAGCAAGGAGCCACTCCCTGCAGGAAGGCCACATGTTCAGTCCAGCAGCTCCTGAGGCCTGCTTCCACTGGACAGAGCGAGCCTGCTGAGCATTTGACACAGTGACTAAAAAGTGAGCCTGGACCGGTGGGCAAACATGCAGTCTGAGCAGATGACACAGCATGACAAACAGCACAAGGACACTGATGTGAGGGTCTCACTTCCTTGACACTGACCACTTACGCCCTTAGCACAAAATTTTGTACCTTTAAGGTTGCCTGAGGGGGAAAAAAAAAGAAAAAAAGAAAATCCCACAGAACATCAACAGGTACCCCTAGTACAATCCACACACCTCCACGTTCATGTCTGATGGAGATCTGCCTTCCATAGGACCCTGACAAGTGATCCCACTGCACCTGAGAGGCCCTGAGCTCTAAGCCCTCCATTTTAGAGAATCTGCCCCGAACTTAGGGACCTGAAGCCCAGCCTGGCAACAGACCCCCCCCAGAGGAGAATCATCCCGCCTCTCAGAGCCGCAGCTCCTCGGCAGCATTTGCATCCTTCCCATCAGAGCAAAGGGATGGAAGAGGCCCTAACAAAAGCCCAGCTCAACCGAGGACCCCAGGGGAGACTCCCAGGCAAGCACTCACCGTGGGTGATGTTCAACTCGTTGCCGATGGCTAAGCTCCAGACTTTGCCCCTCACGCTCGGAGGGATTCCCTGCCACCACAGATCTCGAACTTTCCTAGAGCACCACCTGCACAGGACAGAACATGAGTTCCTGAGCGTGTGCTTCAAGGTGAAAGCCTAGTGTGTGGGTGTGTGCCCCGCCACATACCACCAGCAGTTAAGAGTGGCACTCTGTCCTGGGGAGCCTCAGGCCACTTTCCGCGGGGCACCTGCTGAGACAGGGCACAGCAGGAAGCACCACAGAGGACCATGCACCTTCCAACCAATTTCAAATGACCAGGAGCAGATTATGCCCGTGAAGGATGAGAAGGACTTTCTGAGCAGAAAACAGACACAAAAAATAACCTGGCCTCTTGCAGGACCACACGCAGCTGAGCCTGGGCACAAAGTGCAACCGCCCTGCTGAGAGCTGGAGGGTGGGAGGCAGGAGGCAGGGCCAGGGCCTTACAGGGCAAGCCACCAAACCCTGACAACAGGGTGACTTGCTACCCAGAACATTCTGAACGGTGCAGTTGTTCAGGTCTACTGGTCATGAGGAACATGTATTGCCAAAGACCAGACAAGTGGAAAGGCGCCAGACTCCATCGTGATTCTGAATGCAGCACTGCCGGGCAGCTCCAGCTCGGAGGCTACAGAAGCAAGGCTGCATCCTAACTCTACCCTGCCTTGTGGATCCAGAGACACTAAGTTCTGCTTTCTAAAATCCAGAGGACAGACCTCCCCCGGAGGACTGCAGCGAGAAGTAAGTGGATAAAGTACCAAGCACCCAGCACAGTGCCCGACACAGCCAGTGAGCATCTGCCCTGTGTTGGAGTCACTGTGCTGGGCACTTTGTACTTTATCCACTTACTCCTCACTGCAGTCCTTCAGGGGAGGTATGTCCTCTGGATTAGGGCCAAGGCAGGACAGCCCAGGGCAGGCTTGGTCACCATGCAGGCAGACAACAAGGGCCTGAGAAGAGAACCTCTGCCCTTGGCACTGGGCCCAATCTAAGAAAGAGCATTCAGCATTCTTAGCAGCATTGAGTCTTTGAGGGCCAACACCTAGAAAAACAAATTCTGAGAACAACATCTTCTCCTAATGTCGCCCCTCAACCCAGCCTCTGGCCCCTATAGGGAAAGTGACACCAGGTCAGAATGAGCCTCTAGCATCACAACATGCAAATCATGAGCAGAGGCAAGCTGGTCTCTAAGCTCCCCAATGGCCTCTGTATGGCCCTGGCATGACTGCCCCTAAGGGCCCCAGCCCAGACAGACCACACAGGAAGAAACAAGATGTACAGATGACCTTCCAAAAGGACGTCACAGCTGCTATCTCTGCTGGGTGTGCACTTTGTGCTAACTGTAGGTCAACATCAAAGACAACCTGCTCTCTACCCTCAGAGAAGAAGACAGCTGCAGGGCACCCCGGGGAATCTTCCACAGACACCTGGATCTGTGGTAAGGAAAGGAGAGCCTTTCCTAGGGAAGACTGAGCTTTAGAGAACAAACAACAATTAGCAGGACAGGAGGTCCAGAACACACAAATGAACCTATAAAGGTTCGGAGGCCAAAAAGCATCAACTCTTATTGGTGACCCCATAGGTACAGAGACAGGCCCAACTAAAGCAAAGAAGAGGGTGAGACACAAAGGCAGAGGGTCCTGTCAGCTAAGCTACAGAGTTCAAATATGAAATTGTGCATCAGAGGAAGCTACTGAAATGTTAAGGAGAGAGGGCACAGAGGTAGGCTGAGTACCCAGGTAAGCTGGAAGGGGCTGTCACAGCATCAGGACAAGGAAGCCCAGGGCTGGACCACGGCAACTGAGGCTAATCTACCCAAGGCTGTGCCATGAGCTCAGTAACCACAGCTGCTACCTGCCAGCTGGAGGGAGAAACTGTTTGCAACACAGCAGCACCCACACAATCAAAGCTTACATGGTTTCCCAGTTGGGCAAGATCTCGTTATTCCAGGTGAGGACGGCGTTTCCAATGTTTTCTTCTACTTTGCATCTTTCCTCCAGTTGCTTTTTCCTCCGCTGGGCTTCCTTAAGCTCTAGAAATCACAATTAAAAACAGGAAGAGAACATCTATTATTTGACCCACACCATGTTCAAGCTGGATAATTTTTCTCAACGAGTCATGATACAAGAAAATCAGGAGAAGGCCACTGCATTAGAGCAAGCCTGTGCTCCCAGGGCTCACTTTACACCCCAAGGACCTGGGATGCTTAGCACCATCCTGCTTTAGTAAGCTGTTAAAGTGCAACATGCATACAGAAGAGTGCACAAACACAAATCCAACTCAGACAGAACAGATAAACCCTTGAAGCATCCATCGGAGCAGTAAACATTCCCAGAACTCACCCTGCTGTGCTCCCTCCACACCTCTTCCTAGGATCACTTCTAAAAGTCTAAGCATCACTCAGTTACTAGCGTGTACATAGCAACTCTGAGAAAGATCCTGCACTTAAATTTATCTATACCAATAGCAATCTCCACACCCATGGGATCTACATCTGCTGATTCACCCCACCAACACTGGAAAACACTGGAGGGAAAAAAGTCATGTCTATATCAAATATGTACAGTCTTTTTTCCTTGTCATCATTCCCTAACAATACAGTGTAATAACTATTTATGGAGAATTTACATTTTATTAAGTAACCCACACATGATTCATAGTATACAGGAGGATGCGCATAGGTTACACACAGATTTTACATGTGAGACTTGAGCATCTGCAGATTCTGGTGTATCTGCTGGGGATCCTGCAACCCATTCCTCATGGATACCCAGGGACAACTGTATTTTATCATGGCAAAATATATGTCACATAAAATTTATTTCAGCCATTTTGATGTATAGCTCAGTAGCATTAAGCACATGCACACAGCTGAGCAACCATCACTGTCATCCACATCTGCATGTTCCCTTTTCCCCAGCCCCCCTCTTCAGGCCCCAGCAATCACTATCCTACTCTGTCTCTAAGAATCTAAAAACTCTAGGGATCTCATAAGTGGAACCATGAACTGTCCTTTTGCGACTGACTCATTTCATTTCACTTAGGATAATGTTCTCAAGGTTCTTCTAGGTTGAAATGTGTGAGAATTTTTGTTTTTAAGGTTACATAATATTCCATTGTATGGAAACACCACAATTTATTATAGGAACTTTTTTTTTTTTTTGGTAGTATTGGGGATCAAACCCAGAGCCATGTACATGCTAGGCAAGTGCTCTACCACCAAGCAATATCCCTAGGCCTAATATATATTCTTTTAAAATATCCTGGAATTGGGGCTGGGGTTGTGGTTCAGTGGTGGAGTCTCATCTAGCACGTATGAGGGACTGGGTTTGATCCWCAGCACCATATAAAAAAATAAATAAAATAAAGGTACTGTGTCCATCTACAATTTAAAAAAAAATCTTTAAAAAGAAATAACCTGGAATCATAGTTTTTCAGGAATTGCAAGAAATTTTGTCAAATCCAATCATATCTTCTTGTAAATAAAGAAAACAGATGTCTTTTTTTTAAATATCTTTATTTTGTTTATTCATTTTTATGTGGTGCTGAGGATTGAACCCAGTGCCTCACATGTGCGAGGCAAGCACTCTGCCACTGAGCCACAACCCCAGCCCGAAAACAGATATCTTTACATCATCATTGGCTGAAGCTTTCTAATGAGGAATTCTCATCATTCAATCTCTTCTTGTTAAGTGTTAAATAAAGCTACCAGGAATGACTAGAAGAAGCCTAGATTACTTTATGGAAAACTACAATTTCAGAATACTAAAGCACTCAGCAAAGTTCAAGTTCTTGAGGTCCAAAAGACAGAAAGAAAATACCCAGGAAGACACAGAATCTGGTGCCTGTGGCTTCACGGTACCTCGCTTCTTGGCCTGTACCACCATTTCTTCATACTGCTGCCTGTGCTTCTGGGCTTCTTCAGCAGGTTTTGCTGGGAGGTTTCTTGACAGGAAATAAATGGATTTTTACCATTACAAATATCAAATAAAAGTCTCTGGAAGGGGAAAAAAACACCTGCAGCATCCACCCCCACAAAATTGTAAAGCCCAAAGATATAAAGCTAAATTTTCAAAAATTACACAGTTCTCTCACAAACTAAAGTTTCTTTACAAAAGCAAAATGCTCACTGTAAAACAACTAAATTATAAAGAGTAGTACACAAAATAAAATGACAATTACCCGTAGTTGCAATAGAGACAGATAATCTGTTGGTGCTTTTTCACCCCATTCTCCAAGATAGAAACCGTGATTTAACCACAAAGCTAACTGCCAGCAGTTAATCCCTGAAGGAAAAGCTGCATAGCACAGAACATATATGCATGAATATAGCCCGAGAGGGTTGCTTTAAATGTGCAAGTTTCATATCAGCTCTGTAGCTCATTTAGTMTCTTTTACACACAAAAATATGCCATAGCTGTGCACATTTCATTTAAAACATTAAAAATTCATTTTCATTCAGAAATGTGTGTGTAGACTACGGGCGCCTAGCGAGATGGAAGGGCAGCAGCATCTGGCCTGTGCCCCTGTTACGATGTAACCCACATTCCTTGGAGATTTTCGATCACTGCCACTGGCTGCAGAATGTGACAAGCCCCCACCCACATCTCAGAGCACTGAAAGGACTGGTCTTCACAGCGCGGCAGCTTTAGCCAATGGCCTACACCTGACTTTCCTGTCCTCTACTTCAGAGTCTTCTTACACCTAGTTCTAAGAACCAAGAATTAACAATACAAGATACACTTCTTTTCTAGGCTTGTTTTAAATTTGGGGGTAGGCAGGGGTCTTAGGCATTAACTAGCCCAGTGTTTTATAGCCCCTTTTCTTCTTCCTTCCTTTTTTAGCAGGGGACCTTCTATTACAACACAATGATCCATAGAAACGCTATATACAGAGCCAGGCGCAGCAGCACACGCCTGTGATCCCAGTGGCTCAGGAGCCTGAGGCAGGGGGATCGCAAGTTCAAAGCAAGCCTCAGCAAAAGAGATGCACTAAGCAACTCAGTGAGACCCTGTGTCTAAATAAAATACAAAATAGGGCTGGGGATGTGGCTCAGTGGTTGAGTGCCCCTGAGTTCAATCACCAGTAGCCCCAAAACACCAAGAAAAGAAAGAAAGAAAGAAGGAAGGAAGGGAGGGAGGAAGGAAGGAAGGAAGGGAGGGAAAAGAAAGGAAGAAAGAAAGACATACATTATAAATATATATATATATATCTCAGTTGTGATTACCTAATAGAATAATACCTAATACCTAGGAAGGTCTCCAAACAGGATCTCCTCATCATGCAGCAGGAAACTAGAGGCCCAGAGAGAGGGGCCCTGCCTCACATCACCCACAAATACATCCAATGCAATCCCAAGGAACCCCATAGGCCCCTCCAGGAATTGTCTGGCAATACCAAGGCACCTCCAAAACCCCACTTGCCAGCCTCAGCAATGGCAAGGCGTTAMGCAACTCAGGGCATCTTGTAGTAACAGACCAGCTTAATGTTTATCATATCTAATTAAGTATTAAATAGTAAATTAAAAAGGACAATCACCTAAATGGAAAATCCTGGTCAATATGTCCATGCTAAAGGGCACTTTTCCAAGTCAGCCATATGACACCACTAGAATACATGTGGACCCAGATCATGAATGCTTATGGCCTACTCTGTTCCCATCTCCTGACGCTCATTCTTATTTACTGAAACAGGGATCAGCATTTTGCCTTATCTATAAAGCAGACACCACAGAAGCCCTTTCAAAGACTCACGCTGGTCTGTCTTCAAGGATGAGTGCAGTGGTAGAAAGTGGCTCAAAATCAAGATTCTTCCTCACATTCTGCCTTGGAGAGGGTGGCCTGCTAGGTCTTCCAGCTTTGTCTTCATATTCCTAGGACAAAGAAATGAGGGATGATTCTGAGCTTGGCTAGTTCTGCTATTATGAAGTCCTTCTAAAAGCAACACAGTTGTTTTGTAAGTAAAAGTGCTTGAAGTTGATTCTGAGGACGCAGCACTGACCTTCCTGCCACTCAAAAAGAACTGTGCTGAAGGGACCCCACAGCTCTGCATCCAGGCCAGAGCTTCATGATGCAGGAAGTTTTGAAGTGTCCCAGCATCAAAGTAGCCCCTTACAAGGATCCATTAGCGCTGATTTGGGTCTACACTCCTCCTGGTGACAGGCTTATTTGCTGTCTTTTGCAGACTACAAGTGTTAACTGATTATCAAAGGGCCACTGGGAAGTCACGGCTGCACGTTGTTATGTAAATAATTTCACCATGCCCTGGAAACCTAAGAGCAGCCTCCATGCCCACTGAGCCACCAATTTGTTCCATGGACTGCAGCAACAAAGGCTTAGTCACACCTGGTGACCCACATTCTAGACATCCAGCTATAAGGATTCAGGAGAGCCAACAAATTGGTGCTTCTGAAACCAAGTGTGGGCTCCCTGCAACATCAGAAAATGGTATAATCCCATTGCCCGTGACAGACAAGGCCCTCAGGACCACCTCCTAACAGAAGACAAGCTAGCTGGGAAGACAGGCAGACGAATGTAGAACCAACCTAGCCTTCAGTCCTCACTCCAGGTGGCAGAGCAGCACTGACATGAGGTGGTAGTGAACTGCTGAACGGATTCTACTGACACCAGCTGTCAAGAGGGTGTGACTCGTAAGATTATTTTGCAAGCAATTATTCTCTCAGACAGAAGTGCCTATTAAGGCTTCTAAAAAAGTGAGGGGAAAAAAAAAGCCAGACACAGCGGCGCATGCCTATAATTCCAGCAACTCGGGAGGCTGAGGCAGGAGGATGGCGAGTTCAAAGCCAGCCTCAGCAATGGCAAGGCACTAAGCAACTCAGTGAGACCCTGTCTCTAAATAAATACAAAATAGGGCTGGGACAAGACTTAGTGGTTGAGTGCCCCTGAGTTCAATCCCTAGTATGTCCCCTCTCCCTAGTATCCCCCTCCCCGCCAAAAAAAAAAAAAAGTAGAAAAGAAAAATTTTCTCAAAATACAGAGGCTGTGAGAAACAGCTGAGTAGTCAGTTTCTGTACACCTTTCCTGCAAGGTGAGATGCAGGACCCTTCTTGCTCTGCCTTACAACCGTTCCACTGAAGTACTGAGAAAATAGACTCACTAGCTCATGGGTCAATTTCTGAGCACCTACCCTGGGCCAGGTACAGCAGTGACAGTGTAGCACTAAGCAGCAGAAAGCTTCATACTCCATGTGTACAGAGAAATCTTCAATTTTATAGGAAATCTACCAAAATCTACACGCTATGAAAGCTTGTTTGCGGTCTTCTGCAGACTATAAAGTGTAATTAATTATCCAACATATTATGTTCTGACAAGAATTAGTAATAATACCCACAGATGCTATTTACCAGCTAAGCCTGGACTAGTGAACTGGATGCCAAGGCCAGAGATGCTGGGCCCAACAGTCAGATGTCCCAGAATGCAGCTGTCTGTTCCCATGTGCTTGCATGTGCTCTGCATGTCTCATTTTGTCTCCATAACTTCCTGTAAGTCACCCACTCTTCAGATAGGGCAACTGGGGCTTGATGTACAGGCTGGGCCTACTCTGCCACTGAGTAGGTCCAACCTCCTTTAAGAATATAATCAAACAGGTATGGATTTGCAGAGGGAAAAGGGCAAGTCCTCCTTGGGTCAGTTGTGGCTTCTGGAGACAGACAGGCTTGGGAGGAAACTCAGGACCACCAAGCATTAGCTGTGATTCAGGCACAGTACTTACATGGAATCCCTGAGCCTTGCTTCCACATCTGCAAAGTGGACACAAGCACTGCCAGAGAAGCTGCTGGAGCAGCAGGACATGTGCAACTGTTATGTAGGTCTGCAGTGCACAGGGCCTGGGCAGTGTGTGCCACTGCCTAGCCTCCTCCCTCTGACCTGATATAATCCTAGAAGGCAGGGAAGACACTCCAGTGCCAAACAACAACCCCAAGTCTACAACAGTAGATATGAAAGTAGGAGGGAAGCGGGGTACATGCCTTGATTCATGAACAGAAACTTCAGATCTCCCCAGCTCACACTTCTTACTGTTATCAAGAACAAGCAGTAGCAGCTGACAAGGTTAAGGGGCCAAACGCTTTCCAAGGGCCATAAATACACAGTTAACTCAGTTTAGCCTTTACAACAGTTCTCTGCAGAGACAGAAGGTGCCATCACCCCACTTCCAAGATGGCACTGTGGAAGCCAGAGACATCAACAACCTACCCAGTGGGTAAGTGGGGAAGCTGAGTCAAACGCAAAGCATTTGGTGCTTTGGCCATGTTTCTCACCACAGAATTCATGCAAGCCACTGGCAGACAGGAATTGGAAGTCATTTCATCATGTTCAGTCTAAGTAAAGCTTTCAACTATGACAAACCTATAATCCTGAATTAAGCACACAGTCATCGAAGACTCGGGGTCAAATACAAATGTTTAATCACATAGAGTGACGCATGACTAAAATAATGAAGGAGGCCCAACCTGCCCATACTTGCAATTTTAGAGCCTTTGCAAAGCCCCAAGCAACATTTCCAAGTACAAGTGGCTTTTAGAACAGGTCCTGCTCCAAACTTAGGTCTCTTCCCTTGGACACAGTAAGCTTAACTAAGTCCAAGACAGACAGACCAAGCCCAGGAACAATAAGAGGACTACACCCGTTAAGAACCCTGGGAGGGGTGAAAAACAACTCAATTGAGGATTGTCAGCATCAGATCAGCACATGATGTGGCAGGACTATAAAATCCTCGGAAGCAAATATGACCAGTTCTAAGTCTGGGTTTTGACCTTAGGCAAGGCATCTGAACTGTCTCAGCCCCCTCACTACAAAAGGTAGCAACTGTGAAGCCCACTGTGATAGTCAACCTGATAACACACACATAAGAGGCCAGCAGCCTGCTAGAACAGTGAGCCCTTCTGTGTGCCAGGCAAAATCAGTGGAGTCCCTACCTCAGTCCAACTTACCACTTCAAAGTTTCTTCTGCATGGGACCAAGTCAGAAAGTCTCTTGGTTTTAACCAAGGAACAATGCTCTTCATTGCTGGGCTCATCAAAAGCTCTGACGACTAATCAGGAAAACAAATCACCCATCCAGGCCAACTGCTGCCAGCTCCCCTTAGACAATGGCACAGGGAATTCAGAACAGGATTCTTCATAGTCCTAGTGCAACTGTTTAATTGGTCACAAAAGCATTTTTTAAAATTAAACAATAAAAGTAGAGTGCATAGGCTGGTATGGTAGTACATGCCTGTAATCCCAGTAACTAAGGAGGCTGAGGCAGGCGGATCACAAGTTAGAGGCCAGCCTCAGCAACTTGGCAAGGCTGTCTCAAAATAAAAAAGGCCGAGGATGTAGCTCAGTGGTAAAGTATCCCTGGGTTCAATCCCAAGGAGGGGACACAGAGTACATATAGTGAGGAAAACTTGATTCAGTTCTACACCTAGTTACATCTGTGTACAGAGTCTTGCCTTATATTGGAGTCATTTCAAAAACAGTTTGCAAGTTGCTCATTTAGAAGTTCCTGCCCTGAGCTGTCTATGATGAATCCTGTTGGAGAAGACAAGAGCATACCAACCCAACATCATCAGCACACAGAACAAGTGACTCTTAACCAGAGGTGAGGTTGTTGAGTGTGTGGTCTGATGACCCAGCATAGCTTCAGGAAAAGGAAAGCAGGGGGCAAGGGTACCTGAGTGGGGCCTCAGGTCCTGGCAGATTCAGTCAGCTAGATTTAGCAAGCTGGAGAAGGAAAGAAGGAGAACCACATAAAAAAGGGATAGCTTGGGGCTGGGGTTGTGGCTTAGTAGTAGAGTGCTCATCTACAACATGCAAGCCTCTGGGTTCGATCCTCAGCACCACATAAAAATAAATAAAGGTATAAAAAATTAAAGAGAGCTCATTTGTGAAGAGACCACATGGGGCCCTGGTTCTTTAGGGCCCTCAGTCCCCAGCTTTGCAGAGCTCTCTGCAGGAACAATAAGGTGCAGGTGGAAGACATGGCAAGGAGAGAGAAGAGGAATACAGGAGGAGAGAACAACAGGTGGCAGGAGGCAAGAAGGAACCGTGGAGAGCAGCCCATAATGGGTGCCACTTCAGCAAAGACTGGAAAGGTCTGGGCCAGATGCCAGAGGCAGAGGCAGAGGCAGAGGTGTTCTGATAACACAAGCCACGGCCAAGGGCACCCAGGAGCAGGCTGATTTGTGGGTCAGCACAGGCATCCTAAGTGGGGTACAGTGGTGAGTTCTGTCCAGAGCAAATGAGATGGACAAAAAGCTTCCTAAAGCTGGCAGATGAGGCCCCCAGAGCAGGAGAGCCAGGCTTACAGTGGGGCTGGAGAGCAGAGTGCAAGTGTGGGTAGCCCAGCTATGCAGGGCCAGCAGAGGGGTAACAACTCCTAGATTAGTCTGAATTATACTCGGCAAAGTAAAAGAAAAGCCTGCCTCAGGTTAAGGGGAAAACACCAGGGCTCTCAAACAATGAAAGGAAATCTTCCAAGCAGAAAGAAAAGATGGGTTGTTAATGCTACTTACAGAACTGGAAAAGTGCTACAAAGACAGTCAATCATGCCAATACCTGGCTTCCTGGAATCTACTTTAGGAGAAAGGGCCATCAGTCAAAAGCAAGCTCACTTCTCTGACACAGCTGTCTACAGAGTCAAGACCAGCCGGTTAACATAACCCTGGAGAGGCTTTGGGAAGCACTGTGGCATAAAGCCGCACTCAGGTGGGCATCCCAATAGTGTCTTGAACTGCCAGCGACAGCACAACCACCACCTGCTGTGCCTGATCTCCCAGACTGAGGACCTGGCAGCTAACAGGCAGCACTGGGGATAGAAAAAAGCTGCTAGGAGCACTTTCTCTGTCCTCCATGCCATCAGAATGGAATAG